TATTAAATATAAATCAACTTCCTCAACAGCAAAACCGACTGGAAACATCCAAAACCAATAACATCCTTGGAATAAAATACAAGAGGGATAGCAAAAAGGACAGAACCAGAACAATTCCCTTTACCTCTGTGACCCACAACACAGAAGGAGTATAATCAAGGGAGAAATTTAGACAACCATAAACATGTGTGAGGAGTTATGTTGATTAATTCTACACTAAATCCAAAACCCAGCCAAGGGGTACTGATATCCACACAGGGGTAGGATGAGGGCTCCCAATCAAAGTGGTAAATTGCAATTTGACATCTCACTCCTTAGTGATTGTATAACACACAGTGGAGGATATCACATCATCTACACCTGCAGAACACAACCTCCCTACTCTGTACTGAATGGTTATACCCATCTTTGTGTGAAACCCATTCAGGAGAGTGCTTCCACTGTCAACCACCCCAGTGGCTTGGAATTGGAAAGTGGTAAGGACTCCCATACTCCACTAGAAGAAAGGGGGTGAGAACGCGTTGGAGAGTCCAGAGGAAGGTCATCACCTGAGACAATACAATGGATGACCACGAAACCCTATTTTGAAAAGCAAACCATACTGATTTATTCAATACAAGGCATGGCAGGGATGGGCAGCTATTCCCTTCTGCATTACCCATGCAGTCCATGGTTACTACTGATTGCAAAATACCTGGTCAGGCAACATTTGCCATTGAAAAAATAAAGAATAAATGAAGCAAGGGTCCCTGAAAAGAAACGAATGTATGAATATAGACTTACCCAGTCAAATTTGCACCGAAGTATGAAGAATGGGCACAGGTGGCACACGAAAACCCGATACAGAAGAAACTACGATATGGTGTAAATAATGGGAGATGAACGTATTTGGTGTAGTCCACATGGTTTTCTTCCAATGGCTGACAGAGATGTGATGCGATGGAAAAGATGAGGTGTCAAATGTGAGGAGAAGACAAATTGAACAAATTCCATTGGGAAGATGACAAGGAGAAATAAGCCAATTGAATCAAACATCAAACCCAATTGACGAGGGTAGAAAGAGATACATCACAAACAGAGGAGGACTGCCAAGGGATAAAGAGTCTGGAACGGGTATCATGGAAGGAAGCCTTGCGGGCAATATTACAACGAAATGTACAGACCGGACATAGTAGTATGGGACGAGGGTAAAGATGAGAAATAGAAGGAAGGGAATTAGGTGAAAAGGAGGAGATACTCTCCCTAGCTGCCGAGGTCCTTGGGAGGAAGGAAGGATCCAGATAACGGAGATGATAGGTGTGGTCGTAATGTGTATGTGAAACATCAATTGTGAACAAAACAGACCTTCGACGTCCACAGTGAGGGAATGGAGGACCACATTAATATCCCAGTCCAGAAGACTATGCCTTCTGGGGGGAAAACGAATCCGGAAGGAACAGGGGATGCAAAAACTCGAAGGTAGCAGGAAAAACGAAAAGTATGAGATAAGGCAGCCTGATAATCCAAGATCAAAGAGACCGAATACCCCCGGTCGAAAAGCCATGTCAGAAACTCAACCACAACAGGTCAGCCTGTGGGGAATCCCAAAGTAGCGGACCCACTGTGTAACACTTTCTAATTGTGCTTATATAACTCCATTGAAGAAGAATGTATGGAACAAGCCAAAAGGAAAGATACTCAGTGAGAGAAACCTGATCTTCTCGCCATGAACTGGATAAAAGCCAGGTGTGAAGACGAAGGACGTGAATGGCAGGATGTAGAACCAGTGACCAAGGCTGACAAAAAAGGAGGGAGACCCAGAGAAGGGGTACTGGAGGGAAAAGATGCAGTTGGTGTAATCTTGGAAACCACGGTTGAGTTGGCCAATAGGGAGTGATCAGAAGGACTTGACAAGGAATGGTATGGATGAGAGAGATCACCCAATGAAGTAATGGATAGGAGGATAAACATAAAAACATTTGTGGGACGTAAAGACCACTCCATTAGATAAATTTGATCGAGGCGGGAAAGACAATCCGCTATGAGATTGAAAGCACCTCAGAATGTGACATGTAATGAGAAGATTGTGGTACATGTGGGCCCAATATAGGAGATCCAATGTACGAAAACAGAGAGCTCTTGACTGGGTGCCCCCTTGGTGATTGATATGTGCTACTACTGCAGAATTGTTGGAATGAATCATCACCAGACGATGTCTGGCAAGAGGAAGGAAGTGATTCAAAGCCAAATAGACCATATGTAAATCCCGAAGAAAAGATGTTGGTAAATGAATACGAGTTAAGGTCCCAACAACAGAGAAACCACATATATAAAGCCAGAGCAGAAGGTGACAAATGAGCCAACATGGAGGAAAGAAGAGAAAGGATGTCACCAGAAAAGCCCACATGATTTCGGTGGAGAGCCTCAGAGAAGAGATGGATGGTAGAGAGATACTGTAAAAAAATTGTGATGGTCAGACTAATGTAGGAAAATTGGGCATGGTAAGGCTTACAGGAAATTTGTGGATCACCCCCCACACAAGGAAAAAAAAAACCTAACAATTGTTGGTGTAGAAAAGTACAGTTTGCACAATTATATGCAAGAGCAAACAGATCTTAAGCCCGTGGGGGGCGAGGCATGCTAATCCCATCACTTAATTGTGAGGCAAATTGGTCAGCATGTACCTAAATATCTAGGGAGGGGGGGAAAAACCAAATAGGAATGTAAAGATTGAGCATGTAGTCAGGAAGGACACGGTTCATAGGAAATAGAGGAAAGGGATAAAACATCACATACCTGAGAAACGAAATCCAAAAAGACCACAGTAAGCCTAACTGACTCATCAGGAAGGACATGGGAAGGCACGGTAAAATCAGGAGGTGGAAATAGGTGATCCAAGTCCTCATCAGCCTGAACAGGGTCAGCATGTTCAGGAGGAAGTGGGATGAGGTCCAAAGATAGAGGTTGACCCAGGTAATGTTCAATCTCCCCACAAATAAACATTGATAAATCTCCCACCAGGTCACCCGCACCTGAGGCCTGTGACATAGTGCTAGTCGCAGGTGTGACCCCTGAAGTGGTAACATGAACTTTGGAATTAATATCAAGAAGAGTCAACCAAAATCGAAATAATTAATAATAAAATGACTGGAATAAACTGAGATTAAATTAAAGTGAAGAAACAGTTTTAATATACTTAGAAGTCATTTAAATGAAAACCACTTTGCTAGACAGACATGTTGGAATCATTTGATTCCAATAGGGGGAGCAGAAGGTTTGTGGCATGCACAAAAAAAAGTTTGCATAAAGAGGGCAACACTGAATGAGAATAGCTAATCTTGTGAGAGGAGGGAAGTACCATATCAGAATTTCTGTAACATCTATCTAATTTTTGGTCTTTTGTCCTGCAGGTGTTCCTTTTCTTTATAATAAAATGAACAGAGAAAAATACAACCTTGAAGAAAATACAATACCTTGTTACCATTTATCAAGTAAAAAAAAAACATCAAGCTTTTGTTCCTACAGATGTTGAATAGCAAGCAGGCTCAGATAAGGTAACTCCATTATTATATAACAAAACAAAAAAAATGAAACTCTCCAAGATTTTTTTTTCTCCATAAAGGCGATTCCTGCGTAAAAATCAAAATCTGTAATAAAAATATGTCTCAACAAAAAATGTAATATAATTTAAAAACTTGCATTTGCATTGAAATTAAGTGGTACCAACATCTAATCTCAAAGATTCGAACAACTCTTTTAATTATTTGGAAATCGAGTTGTACTAAACCAAAACTTGTGTGCAACTACAGTAAAGAACACATTGTTTTCAAGTGATTGTAAATAAATGGATGAAAATATACATGAATCATTATATAAATATCCTAACAAAATCATTATGGCACTTATTTAGCCAGGTTACCAAAAAAAAATATATATATATATTTTTTATATAAGACCACATCTAAAAAGGGTTATTGTGTGTTACTCCTAATTTTTATTTTTTACTGATAGTTACTTGACCAACATTTCCATCTTAAATGGCATGTTAAATTAATGCAAGCACATATGTAATGAAACAGAAGCATCAGTATTACTATACAACTGTAAGATCTTTATACTAACTGGTACCTTTCTAGGTTTGCACCAAAGGTCCTATTATTCACTATTCAAATGGCTGTTAGCTGGAGTATTTTGCTTTCTAGAGGCAGAAGCAGTAACTTTCTAAAACACTAAAAGTAACACATCTCTTTTTTTTTAAACAAACCAGGTGTTAAAAGTACTGACGTGCAAAACTGTGATGTTAACTATCAAATAATACAATGAAAATTATAATTTTTTCTTTACTGTAAGTGATACCCAGCAAACAATATTTTCATGAGAACTTTACCAAAAAAATAATGTCATTCATTCTTTCCCTCTCTCTCTCCACAATGTATATTTACTTACATAATACTGAGTAGCTTTCAGTTTTAACACACCCTACTTTATCAATAGTTTTACATTTAAACATAGTGTACCACTCCCTATTATCGAAATAGAATGATATATACCTGAACTAAGAGTTAAAGAATAGCCTCTCTCACGATTTCAAACATTTTATGATGTGATATCATGAATTTGTTACTGTAAAATGGTACAGAATTCACAAGATCTCCTTTTGCTCAATTGCCAAAAATGGTTATATACTTACTTTCTACACAATAGATAATCTACAGCATAATTAAGTACACTCTGGAACTTGGTACTAAAGAGTAAAGATCACATGACCTATGAATCCATATCTCAAAATAAGAGCTTCATAGTGTTTTGTAATAAAACAATGATATTGGAGAAAAACTAGTTCAAGAACTACAAAAACTATTTTCCTATTCTTCCCTAGCTAAATTATCATACTGAAAATATTGTTTGAGGTCCATCTGTGATTTTATTTGTAAACATAAATCATTTTCAATAAAATATAAAGAAGCAATTATCTGGTCCCTTAATTACAAATATATATATATATATATATATATATATATATATGCAGCTTCTTTATAGAACATACAGCTAAAATCTATTATAACACAAAAAATATTCATCTTTCAATGTAAATTGCTAAACGGACGGAGTAAGTTGTACTGTAATTACAAGTTAATATCTCTTACGGAATATACTTCCCTGAGGTTCTTCTTCAGGATGTGCATCGCTTTCATTTTCATCCGAATCTTCTGTGTCGAGCTCACCATCATCCGTTTCTTTTGTTATTTGGTCATCTTTTAACACATGATTTTGTGTTGTTCTTATCTGAGTGCTTCTAGAAAAAACAGGAGATTGGTCATTTATTGAAGACTCCCTGTCTTTTGATTGTAATGTGGCACGAACAGTTTCAAGACGTGGTTTGCGAGGAGAAGCCCTGACACAGTTTCTAACTTCCTATAAAGAATAAAATAATACAGTTTTGAGAGCTAAAATTCTTCATCTACCATAGTATATAAAATATGTACCTATACTGACAAACAACATCTTTTCAAATTTACAGTTACTTAAAAAACTGCTGAGCAATAATTTGGATTCATAGAACAACAGCATGATGTAATCTGCATTTTTAAAAGCATATACAACCATAACTAATTCACATTAAAGTAGCAATATACATATATATATATATATAATGTGTGTAATAGAATAACTTTTCAGACAACCAGGCTTAAAACAGACAAGTGTAAAAACTATGATGTAAGAGTGGTAAAACATACCTTAGTAAGAAGGTATCCATGAAAGTATGACCCATAGAATATCTATAATATTTTTTTTATCATATCGGATCTCTTCTCACAAGTATCATGTGTGAAAAAAATAACAATAACTAAATATTATATGGGTGTCTGTCCAACAAATCATGTCTAAAACTACCATCCACCATCTGCAGCTAGTTGTGGAACAGTAGTTGCATCACATGAAGCAGGATTATGAAAATAAAATTAAATGGGTTACTACAACATAATCATTAAGGGTCATAAGTAAAAGTTATCTCCTAGGGCTCACATTTCAGCCCCCATAATGGTCATAATCCAATATGAACAGTGAAATAAAATCTCAGACGTCTATGTCATTCATTTAATTTTTATAATTCTGTTTTAAAAGAGGCAACTACCTTCACAAATTGACCACAGACAATGAATGGTAATTTCAGATATGGGATATTATAAGCTTGAGTCCCATATTGGCTCTTAATATTCATTTAAAATGCACATTAATGTAGATTTTACAATTTAAATCTTTTGTATCTTCTCTTCTACAGTGATAACAGAAATATATATCATTTCACTAACTGCAATGTAGTTTCAACTTATTACTTTTCACTGAAATTTAGACATTTACGAATTTGATACTTCTGTAAAATGGATATATTTCTTACCTTGAGATCTTGATCTTCATCAATTTTTTGAAGGGAACCATAAGCTCTTGTGTAAATTTCCAAAGCTTTTGTATGGAAAAGCAGTTCAATGTTCACAAAATCAGTGAATATTTTCTGCAAAATAAGCCATAAAGAATTACTTTATTTTAGGATTTTTGAGTCAACTTGAAAGTTTTTAAAATGTTCAAAGTATTACACAGCTTTTTTCATGAAATTTATATGGCTAAATCTTATATTCAATGTAATAAAATTTTGGAAAGTCTAACTATATGGTTTTCTAATTGAAGCTTTTTATGCTAAGCACTTCAATAATCAAAACCACACACACACACAAATATCCTTGCATTGCCTGATTTTTTTATTAACACTACACATACAAATAGATTAATCTATTGCTAAAAAAATTATGTATAGTATTTAAATGATGTCTTAGAAACTTAATAACCTTTAAAAAATTGTATAATTTTTTTTTACTATTAAGACAGTTTAAAGCTCTGGTGCAAAGAGAATTAAATATTACATAAACATTAGAATGTCTTGCATATAAAATTAAGGTTGGAATACTCTATTTTTTATCAAGGTTATTCATTACAGTAAAATTTTATTCAATAAAAGGTTATTTTATCTCTTCTTTTTTTTTATGCAAATAATCATACAGCTGATAATTCAGAGATGTCAACTTCTGAGCACATATTATGTTTACAAAGATGTGTACCAGGTGTCTAGTTGTGTTTGGTGATTTTCAATTAGTGTATGCTTTAGCTCGCTGGTAACCACTGTAAAAAGAAAAATTGCCACTTACTACCATACTAAAGTACTTTAAAATGTATATTCAAAGCTACCGCTAGTATAACAAACTTCCCACTTGAAAATGGAAAAAGTTGATGCAATGAAGCTTAGTGCCATTTCTTAGTTTCTAGTCCTACTTCTGATTTTGTACAGGGAGGGAAATTTTAGTATATGCAGAGTCTGTAAGAGCATGAACAAGTTTTGTAACATTATCGTACTCTGAGTGGTTAAGAAGTGCCTTTAATAGTAGTTACCAGTGGTTTAACTCTTTAGCTTAGTTGGTAGAGCATTCATCTGGTGTGCATCAGGTGTCAAGTTTGAGTCCAAGTCATCGTGATTACTACAACATTATTATATATATCAAGGAAAAAATACTTTAGGTCTTTATGATTTTCCATTTTTAACACTATTAGTTGCATGTTTTTATTACTGAAAAATAACAGTTCATTTCTTAGCCAAGCATACTATGAATCACATAGATTGGTATATATATATAGGCCTTAAAAAATATGTGTCAAGGAAGGTAGTATGTAGTAAAGGAATTTAATAACATTAAAAAGTTTCCACATAAAATAATATAAATGTTATTAAGGATTATTCCAACAAAAAATATATAACCCCAGATATAAATATTACAGTTAATAAACAGAAAGTGTTTTATTTCTTTACCATTTATAGGAACACTATCTTTGGAAATTAAAAACAACTTAATCAAATACTTATGAGGCCATATCCACACATTCAGTTAAAGTTTATATTAAAAACAATATATAGAATATAAAAACTTCTTTGATTTTAAAGATAAAATACCAAATTAATGAATTCTAAGATTGTTAATCAATACAGAATTCTAGGTATATAAGTTCTATTATTTGAATCTTAGGATCCAGAATTAAAGAAAACACTGACTTAAGATTCATACAACAGTCTAGTTTTAAAAAAACATTCTTTAAATTAACGTGATGAACTACCATATCAGAATTATCTTGAAAATAATAAAGAATTTTACATTGGTTACAAAAAGACTAATGAAATTCATAGAAGCACAAGCTATACATTTGATGAAAAACTCTTCCATTGACTTAGGAAGTGGAAGAGCTGAGGCATCTTCTTCCATAGAAAAATTTCCATGAGGAAATAAAATATATAGGAGAGAAAAAAACATATTGGAAAGAATCTAGAGATAGTAAATTACATGTGCTATTCACAACAACTTGCAGGCCTGTCAACATCAAAAAAAAAGTGAAGTGAGCATTCTTAAACAATAGTGTTACACATATAAAGAGGATTTATATTTTATAGCCCTGTAATTTTTGTAATATAAAGTATACCCTTGAATGTTGTGCAAGAAGGACTGACAGTTCTGTGAAAAGTTAATGCTCAACCATATGTACCAGGTCCAAGGGCTAAGGAAGAAGTATTAAAGTTTGGCCAAACAGAAACACATAACAGACATACAAGAAAGGCTCACTTAAATTAAATCTCCAGGAAATCGGCAACAACTCAGCAGCAGTTGGCTCAGAACATGATACAGATACAAAGAAATAAACATGTTAGGCATAACCTGCAAACCTCAATAAATAAAATCTACTAAGGGACATCTATCCACTTCCACTATGTTAAAAGCAGGATGTTCAATTTAATGGGATGTAATAACAAATTCTCTACACAAATCATCATTCAAGTTAGTATAAACCCTACAAAGAAATTGCTTCAGTCAACTCTTTTAAGGTAACAGAAGTAAAATCACTTCAATTGAAAGGGAAGGAAGAGACATCTAATGATTCATAAAATATTATATTACAATCTTAAAAAAAGCAAGTTATTAGAGTAAAAATGAGTAAAACTGATGAGAATGGTAAGACATGATGATGTGGGACAATATACTACTGCCTTCAAAGAAAATTTGTGATAAAAAGTGAGTTCAATTTCATTAACTTGATAAAGATACATCTTGACAAGAATATTTCAGTACTATTCAATATTATTCCTCCATATAACTGAATACAATTGTTGAAATAATTGAGTTTTCTCTTATAGAAATTATCTTGTGACCTTGGCAATTTAACTCAGCAGTGTTTAGTATTTATTTTAATGGTAAGAAAAATAATATATATATATTAAACCAAAATTCCAAAAAGATAACAACTGAAGGTAGTAGTTTGCAGATCTGGTTAGCAACTAAATTCTAAAAATAGTGGATGTACTGATATGAAACAACTGTATGGTTTATTTTTATGCAGTAATATTTATTCAATAACGAAGAATTTAAAATAACAAATATATTTGTTCCATTTTAGTGTTTTTGATAAATCATTAAGTTTTGAGAGGTGAAAATGTGTGTTATGAATATGCAAGACTGCAACAGCTAATTCTTAATTCTGGGCTACAAAGTTCCACACTGGCATGGATTTCTAAATCATTATCTCAAACAACTGAAGAAGAATTATAATCCTTTCCAAATACAAGATCAAAATGATAATATAAACTGTATAATCTGCTAACCACACATTATTCTTTTGTTATTAATTTATTCCTGTGAGTAGTGTATTAATAAAAGTTTTACACCTAAATATATATCAGATGCTCCCTCAGTGTAAAGGAAAAACAGGTTATGTGAGCAACAACCTCTAAACAAATACTTAGCACAGACTTATGTCTGAAGAAATGTACATGTTATATATGTTAGTGATATTTTCAACCTACTAGATAAAACTGTTTATACATTCTACTTCTATGATGTCATTAGACTTATAACTGTTGTCTACTTACAAAAAAAACTCATACAAGCTTAAAATCTGATTTTTATATACTACATGCATGAAATTACCTTAATATTGGAAACTTTATTGTGCTCAAACATTTCCATTTGTTCTTCCAAGACTTTGACTGATTGGTTGGAATCAAAAGTTGCTCTTTGGTATTCATTTCCTGCCTATAAAGAATCAATGTTAATAAAAAAGAAATTTTGTTTGTTGCAATATTTTTACTTTATCCTAACTCTGGTTATGAACCATTCAAATCTGTTTTATATATATATAAAACTGTAAAAAGACCAAAAAACGATACTTATATCTTGTACTGTTTTTTCTGTCATATTTAGCATGAAGACATTTACACTTTTACCAATATTTGTCCTCTAAACTTCATACATTTGATTGAAAAGATAACTGTACAGTGAGATTATTATATGTAATTAATGTAGCATATACATTTCTCGTTATATTTCAAAATTTCATTATCTAACTTTTCTTTCTTTTAGTTCACTTAAGTTTAAAAAATTTAACTTTTGTAGATGATATATTTACAGGTCCCAGAAATGTTAACATCTTCCTACACTGAAAATATATTTCTGATAGATTCTTACCTCCTTTAACAGAATAGCTTTTCCCGACTTGTATTGCCCCTCTATATGCACACATTTTCACTCACCACTAGCTTTGATACTCCCACCTTCTCTCATGTGTTTCTATGTGAGGCAGCTGCATGATAGCATGCAAATAACCATGCAACAACCCTCCACTAATAGGATCCTGACACAACTTCCAGCACAGCTAACTCCCTTTATGCAACTTAGCCCAAAATCACTTCAAGGTTGAGCAACAGAAAAAGAAAAGATACTGGAAGTGGGGAGGAAGGGTGGGAAGTGTGAGAAGAAGTAAGAATCTAACAGAAATAAATATTCAATGTAGGAAAATATTAACTTCCAATACTATATCTTACCTCCTCTCACAGAATAGCTAGAATCCCACAATGACCTGGTGGAGGGACCAGTGTAACATTATCTAGATGAGCCCCCTTCAGAAAGCACACAAAGAAAGTCCATGGGGTGTGAAAATAAAGAGTATGTAAGACACTCCCATTTTAGACCACACCATTTCTGAGCCAGGTATACTCTTTGCTCATGAAATTGATGTGTCGTAATAAGGGCAGAAACATAGAACAGACCCCATAAATTAAATGAAGGGACCCCTGGTGCAGTGGACAATAAGGGGGGAGTTCAACCTCAACCAATGCCAACAGAACATTAATGGGAATATCCGGCCCACAGTAGGAAGAGGGTCCTCTACTATTCACCTCAGATGCAGGAATCATAATGGAAGAAGACATTCCATTACATGGACCCACATCATCATGTGTGCATATCCAACACAACCAACACCAGTACCCCCCAGGAATCGACATCCGGATAATGGTAGTAAGGCAGACAGCAATGTAGCAGTTCAACTCCAGTCCAGAACCATGCAGCATTAGGAGTGAATCATCAAGTGCATGGCAGGAGGAGGGTACCATGGCCACTCACATGTGACGACTTATGTGGCTGGTCTAGCTCCAACCAACACCAGTATCCCCCTGGGAACCAACATCCGGGTGACAGTAGGAGAGAGGGTATCCAGCCTGAGGAGTGAACTGCATTTTGGCAGAAATTGTCCAGTCCATAACCAGGTAGCATTTGGAATAATACATCAAGTCTGTGGTAGGAGGAGTGTCTATACATCACTTACACTGGCTGAACACCACCACCCTACTCTCAACTGAGTGGGATTGAGCATACTCAGGAGCTGGTAAGTGGTAAGGACTCCCATACTCCACTGGAAGAAGGGGGAAAATAATCATTAGAGAGTCCGAAGGTATCCAGCATCAGAGACATTGCAATGGGTGACTGTGAAACCCTATTTTGAAAAGCATACCATAATTTATTCAGTCAAATGAAGAAGCAGCAATCCCCTTCTGCTTTACTCATGTTAGTTCATGAGTATATGGTCTGAGTCAAACAAATTTATGACACAAAACCTAGTGAGAAAAACCTACAAGCTGTCTTGCGGAACACCCCATCTCTACAGTGGGCTTTATTGAATTGAATGGTCATACAAAGCAGATTTAAGAATAAGTATACCTTGGTTAGGCAACACTTGCCACCGATTGGGATCCATATATGTGAGAAATACACCTGTAAAGAAGAAAAGTAGAAAAAGAGCATCAATCACTCATAGAGAAACTGTGGAGCTCAAGATGGTGATAGGAGGTAGATGATAATCTGCAGAGTAAAAATGGCCATACAATGAAGAAAATGTGAAATAAATGCATGGAGAAGGATATGGGATGAGGGAACAGGGAAGATAGAAACTGAAACAAAGAATGAGCCCTTCAGAAAGAACCCAAGGGTCTGTGGTGAAAGAATCTCAAACAGTGAAAAAGAGCAAAAGCCTGTTCCCCCACCAAACCTGTCCCTCCACAAAGTTATCTGGACCACAGGGGTCACCAATGCTGTCAACAAACAAACCACTGTGTAACCTCAGAGACTTGTGTAGTAGGTTCAGGAGGAGGTTGAGACAAATGGGAAGCCAATGAGGAATGGAAACAAATGAGGGAGGATAATGTGACACAGACATGAGTAAGAAAAAGAAGAGGTTGGAAAAACATTAGAGAATCCAACTACTGGGAGTCCAAAAATGGAAACACAGATCTATGGGATGTCATATGACATGGGGGTCAAGGCATACTGGCCTCTAAAAGTAATTGGTCTGCAAACCTCTCAGCACAAACCCCAATATCCTGTGAGGGAGAGATAACAAGATATTGAACCAAAGGTGACTCACTCAAAATGAAAGGAGAAGACAAAGACAAAATATAACATACCTGATTTATTAATTCCAGGAAAGGAGAAGGAGGCCTGGGCACTGTTATTGGAGCTAAATCTGACCTTGTGGCACAGGAAGAGGGAGGAAACAAGCTGTCGATATCTACATCCTCATGTTCGGGTACCCCTAAACAAGGCATGAGAGGAGAATCTGTAGGCAAATCAAGAGCCCACATGAAGATAGCCAACTCCAAGTGAACTAAGGCCTTATCATCTCCCGTCAACGTTTGTGGACCCAAAAACCACAATAGTCAAATTTTTTTTTAGTATGGTTAACTGTAGTAGAAACAGCAGTGGTAGCAATAATAACATGAAAATCCAAATACATTTCAACTAAGAGCAGAAGGAGAAAAGTCCAAACAGAGAGCTCCAAAGAATCACGTATTGAAATAAAAGACACATAATGCTACTATGTTTGAACTAAAATTTCAGAACACAAGTGTAGCAAATGTAAATAAAAACTAAGTTCCCTTAAAATAAAACAAGGAACTGATTAAAAATTCTGAAAAGTAATGTGTGAGCAAAAAACACATCTGACCACCATGACTGCCAATCGAGAAGTGATTTTGGGCTAAGCTGCATAGAGGGAGTCAGCTGTGCTGAGAGTTGTGTCACACTCCTATCGGTGGAGTATTATCACATACTCATTTTTATGCTATCACGTAGCTGCCTCACATGAAAACATTTGAGGGTAGGTGGGAGTATCAAAGCTAGTGGTGAGGGTAAATTTATGCATATAGAGGGCAGTACAATTGGGAAAAGCTATTCTGTGAGAAGAGATAAGATATTGTATCAGAATTTAAAATAGTTGTTTCTACGTGTTATTGATGTACAAGGTGTGAATCTATTCAGAAATTACTATAAAATACATAGAACTAAAATTCAATATTTTGAAATGATAATTTTAATGAATTTTTTTGTCTTGAAACAGGTAATAAACTACATTTAGAAGGACATAAATCTGTGGCTTTGTAGTTCTTTTCAGTGACTAATATTTAAAAATAACAATAATACTCTGTAATAAGTTTATATTTTCTAGCTGATATTTTCTGTATCAATTTCAATAATTCAGCTTGTTTTCTAAATTTCAACTGTATAATAAGAAACCTATCAATGAGTAAAGAGAAAAAAACATGGGTTATAGGATACAATAATTTGAAATTATACATCCTTCCTTTTAAACTGGCCTTCAATTATTAACAGTTTTTTTACCATAGTTCTTTAAAAACAAACTAAAGGAATATAAGTAGTGAGAAGAATTCTAAATATCATATCATTTACAGAAAACACAATGCTATTGCAGAATGTTTAAACGTTTGAACCAAACACTTTTTCATAATTAAAACATGAATTACTTACTTATGATAAAGCTGTCTAAAGTAGCTCTTGATACATGAAAAAGCAGCTTACCTTACATAGAAATTGCCCTTACGATATTGATATTTGTGGAAACAACACTGCATGATAACTACATTGAAACCTTAATGCTCACTGGAAATGATCAATCAGTTTAAGTACACAGACAATAGCAAAATTAATTATATAGAAATATATAATTAGGCCTTAATATAATATGAAAGAAGAGTAATAAAGTAAAAAATGATTAAACTATAACATACAGTTAAATAGTTTCCACTTGAATTAATTTTGATAAGGTACTTTGATGCAATGTAATCAGCAACTTTACAGTAGGAAGCATTAACATGCACACTGATGCAAGCACCCATTAAAAGACTAAACCATTCGTGATAGCCAGTGTCTGTTTCAAAGTAACACATGAGATACATCACTCATGTTACAGTAGAATCAACTTGCAGGTATAAACACAAGAACAATAAAGAGTATACATACCAACGACTGGAATGTAGTTAAGGAAAAAGCACATATGAATAATTAGGTATATATATATATATGATACACACACATATCCATCTTGTATTCTTTAATTTTATGTACATTGTTTGGTAGATTTTAACAGTCAATAAACAGGTTCAAAATCCACAATGCAGTTTCCCTTCATCAATCAGTTATTATGAGGTTAATAAACAATTTGAACTCTGTAATAGTTTTATGATTTTACACTATTAGTTGGACATAAACAGATATTTAATAAAAAAACAGTTTATAAATTTCTCTGTTAAATTGCTATCATATGACCAATACTGAGGATAAACTGTACTTCAAATGAATGATGTTCTTGATTCTGTGTTACCCTTGGAACTACTGTCAAATGTTGATTATGCTCAATCTTTTGGACATATTATCGACACTACTGCTCAATACTAGAACTGCCATTTTAACAAGCTAATGAAAATGACGTCAAGGTAAAACTTAGACCACACATCTTGACAAACGTT